CAAATACTTATACTGCTCGCCCTCATTTCATCTGTGAGCACTAGCAACAAACCATTCGTTTCGTTCTATCGCAATCGCCATCCTTGGCTGGTGAAAAAGTCGGCGGAGACGGCGGTCTGAAGATTGTCCAACTGCAATCGGAGCTGCTATACGGGGTCGACGAGTGCATCTCCCAACTTGCAGCAAGCTCTCTAGAAACCGCAGAAATCTTAAAGAAGACCCTTTTCTTCTGATCTTCTTGTCCACCTGTCGTCAACTCTCCTCGTGATATGACCACTTTATCGTAACTTGGCGTTCGTCACAAGTTCATCATCGGAACAAGACATTATGGGTGATCCTCAGCTTCAGGGTTCGGCACGATATTGTGTGAATCGAAGTACTTTGAAAGGTCTCGCTTGGAATTCTGTGAACTAGAGCCGATTCTAATGAAGCGGACATTAGTCATCCAATTCAGCAGAGTGCAGGTAGACACCAAAACCAAATGGATGCGCGCGACGATTTCGATCAGCGAGACGGTTGGTACTGGCCTCACTGCTCTCTGCCGTCTATCTAGCTCTTCTTTCATATTGTTCATGCTCGTAAAATGTTCAAGAAAAGCGTAAGATGTGGCTTCTTTCATCTGTGTCGTCGAAGCCGAGATTGATGTTCAAATCAAGGCTTTTTCCTCTCTATCCTCCTTTACGAGTCTGGTCCAACTTGGTACATACCAGCATAAATGATGAGAAATCTCCAACATACAACTTCTGAGAGCACGCCTGCGTCGTCAGGATGAATAGATGTGTGAGTTATTGAGCAATTGCTGAGATTGGTGTGCGCCATGCATTCATCATTACTGGATTNAAAAGAAATTCAAGTAGGCAAATCTGATTTTGCTATTTTCAGTTTCCTGTACCTGATCTCTTTGCCTTCGTGCACGACTTTCCACGAATACATACTAAAATACAAAAGTATCGCATCCGAGAAAAATTACGAGACTCTTCTATTTCTGTGTTTTGATATGAAANTTCTTTCATATTGTTCATGCTCGTAAAATGTTCAAGAAAAGCGTAAGATGTGGCTTCTTTCATCTGTGTCGTCGAAGCCGAGATTGATGTTCAAATCAAGGCTTTTTCCTCTCTATCCTCCTTTACGAGTCTGGTCCAACTTGGTACATACCAGCATAAATGATGAGAAATCTCCAACATACAACTTCTGAGAGCACGCCTGCGTCGTCAGGATATAGATGTGCGAGTTACTGAGCAATTGCTGAGATTGGTGTGCGCCATGCATTCATCATAACTGGATTCTGGATCAAGATTCTTTACTGGTTACTAGGAGTGGAATATTTATAAATTCGACTGGTTCGCGCTTCGGACGCTGTGAAAGCAGCTGTAATTGAATTGAAAGTTGATTTTCTCTGTGCTATGTAAGGCCTAAAAAGAAATTCAAGTAGGCAAATCTGATTTTGCTATTTTCAGTTTCCTGTACCTGATCTCTTCGCCTTCGTCCACGACTTTCCACGAATACATACTAAAATTCAAAAATATCGCATCCGAGAAAAATTACGAGACTCCTCTATTTCTGTGTTTTGATATGAAATCTCTCTGTGCTGCTGTATTTGCTATTATTTATGTCATCCACTGTGTCTTTACATCTGATTTATTGAATAAACACACTGCACATGTGCATATACGAAGAAAGCCAAGATCCAGCTAAACGTGAGATTACGGTACCAACAAGAATACGCTGAAACCTTTTAAACAAATGGCTGATAGCATCCCATTTAGCAAAAATTACCTGGGAATCCTGTTACTCTCGGGCGTCTACTTTTTCAACAACTCTTATACTACTTAGGAGGTGGTTTCACTACAATGAATTGCGCACAGTCACTGTACATCGCAGGTCATTGTATAGCCAAAATATGAACTCGAACGCCTCTACGATTCTGTACAGGAATTAACCTTTCACCCTTTCACTTTGAAACTACAACGGATACCTTGATTCCTGTTTAGCTCTTCATGATAGCGGAAAACAATGAAAGTCTGTTTGCAACGGAATTATGTGAGGTTAGATAAACGAATTCGGAAAGCCTAGATACATAATACATATACATATTATTCCCCTCCAAGGTAAGAAAGCGGGATGAAAGAAACGCTTAGCGTTACAGCAGCACCACAGATTACTTGCTGTGCTTAAGTAGTTTCTGGTAGTTTTACCGACTGCGGGGGAGGGGAACAGCGGGTCGAATGTGGGGGCGCATCGATCAGACGGGATTGGTTAACTCCAGAAGGCTTTATCCTTTATCCTTTATTGACCGCATTATTTTGCTTTTTTCTTGTTCGTAGATCTCTAATAAAACAAGCGGCGGGAATCACCACAGTAGAAGTCAGCCTACATAATGTACTGGGATCATTAGTACGAAATGTCGTTTGTAAATCTCACCAAGAGTAGAGCCAAGGAAGGAAGAGAGAAGGAGAGGGGTATTCAATTCGGATTCCGGGTCAGGTCTATGTATTGAATACAGGCACTCTTTTCTTCTAGCGCCATTAGGTCCCTCAAACATGGAATGACCGAACTGTGATTTAAGTCCCAAATCCTCACATACCCGCGGGAGATTTTTGGTAATGGTCTCGCTCGGCTTCCAACTGCAAACATAGAATCCACCCGTTTAGACTGCTTCGCAATAATCCAAATGTGGCATAAACATTGTGCGCCTAAAGACCTTCTGCGTCACATTACGGGTGTGGCGATTGTCATCGAGCCCAGATTCAGGCACTCGTTGGACTTCGGTCATTTAGGGCGTTGAGCTCAGGCCCAAAGCCGTAAGCAAAGCTAGAAGTCACGCAGATGATCACTTTTGAAGTGTCAAGTCATGACTTGACCTGCTGCTTACATCCTTCTCTTTCTGACAGCCCTCATTGTGGTGAAAATATTGAACTGCACCAGAAATTTTATCATAGTGGAACGGTTATTGAATTCAAGCTAAAATTACTTTATACAATAATTTTTAATATCATAACTCTTAAGGATCCATACGATCACTTATTACAGAAGAAGCAAAGTTATAAAAATCAAGCGGTGAACATTTCAATGAAAACAAAATTGAGAAATTAAAGATTCTATGTATGATAAGTAAGTACTTAATCAATAGCAATAATTCTTCTCCCCTTTTTCAGGGTACTTTATCGTGGATGATTCTGATAACCATTTTCCTCTTATGGATGCCGATCGCTCTGTGGCTTTCTCCCTCACAGTAGACCAAACGCTTGGCTTTCCTTTTGGCGTTTCCTTGGGTTCGTAATATTCGAAGAAATACTGTCAACGGAATTATCATTTCGTACAGGACAAAGTGACGTATTTACAATCCGTGGTTGTGCCCTACCTTTTCAATTGAATCTGTAATTTCCTTGTCTCTCTCTGTCCACGGTTTCATCCATTGTGAAAGATTATTCATGAGAAGAAGTCTCTCCACTTCGCTCAAGAACACGTTCGGGTATTGGCCGTATCGCTCATAAATCTCTTTCACCTCTGAATGTTTTATATGGTTATTAGCTACTTTTAAAGACGAATGAATGAACATGAACAGGAAACCTTCAAAAACAGAGCACAAAAAGCAGGTTTTCGGCAAACCTCTATCGTGATTTGCTGGGTCTTCTATTTTCAGCTGTTCCATTTTTGCCAACAAATCAGCGTTCTGCTTTTTTAAATGTTCCCTTTCTGCTATCATATCAGCGTTCCTTAAAAACTTCACTATTTATACGGAATGTAAAAACCTAATGCTACTGCTAATGTTGATGGGGCTGGCGATAGTTTCAGGATCATTAGTTAGCTGATTCATCCACGTGAATTAGATTTTCTATTCTTTACTTACTTTTTTTCAAGAGATTCCACATATTTTCTTAGCTTTTCCATCGCCTGCGACAAACATTCCCATGGTGCAACCGAAGTGGGCTTCTAAAAATATTCAAAATATGACAGGACGTCAAAGACTGTTTTTAAAGCTTTATATCATAAGCTTACTTCGGACTTCACCATTTTACAAGCTCCCTCACTGCCGATACAAAAGGAACCTAAACACATAAGCATGTAATCGGAAATAAGGGTAGACTTAAGAACGATTCTCGTTTAAACATCCGGGTGAAAACTTAAATTGGGACCAGGTCAATAGTTTTATTATAAGGTGAATACACTTTAGCGAATGATGACTTTTATCCTCCCAGATAAGTCTGGTACCAATTAACCGAGCTAAAGGGATGGAAGGCCTGGTTGGCTAGAGTGAGCAACGGTTCGAGATTCAAGCCCGCGAACCATGCGTGCGTGTTAGTCCCACCTGCTACTACATATACCACCTTCCGCTTACAAAAAAAAGTAAACTGTAAAGAGCAAATATTGGTAGTCAATGGTTCCTTTTGTTACACATTCTACAGGGTGTCTCAAAATTGCGGGCGCCAATCCATGGCAATGTATTTTAAGGTTCCCAGCTGAGAATCACAATGGAATCTATGTGCGCGTCAGCTAACATTATGCGCTACAATATGTACCATGTACCATGCGTACTGCAAGAAAACCTCATAGTGCAATTAGTTAATGCCGCGTAGAAAGAATTAGATAAATTAGATCTACCGTAGAAGTTCCTGAATGATGGCGCCCATCATTTTGGGGCACCCTGTATACTTCCTGCACACTAACCTCGTTCGAGGGACACAAGGCCTAGCATTCAATTCACTCGGAGCTTCAGAAAGAAGTTGGCGGCCGTCCTGGTGTTGGTATTGACGTCCCGAGGGGATTAATCCGTAATCCTGATTCTACGATTGTCAGGATATTGCCAAACTAGTTCGGCCCACCTGATTTTTGATATTTTGGCGTAAGCAAGAGCATCCCTGATCTCTGTTCGTTGTCGGAGCTTAGAACGCCAGAAACCTCTCTGAATTCGAGTTTAAGGAGAAACTCCGAGCATCGTTCTTCCCGCAGCGTGTTGAATGACACTGACTGCATGCTCATCTTGCTTTTGTGAGGTCCTATTCTCCGAGGTGTACGTCAAAGTAGGAAGGATGCAGGGTCAAAGCGTTAGCGTGGAGCTAGATAATTTTTACCTTCTTCAGTAGCCCTTCGTTACTGCTGATTGTTCTCACTTCACCTTGCAGCCAGGCAATAAAGGAAGATCTGAAAGAGAAGAGCAGCAGTTATTTAACAGCCGCCATGGGTGGAAGGAGCTTTTGCAAAGCCCGAAGGAGCTTCGCCAATCGCAAGACTAAGATGACTTCCCTGCCGGAACAGTTGCTGCATCTTGAAGGGCAATGGAGAATGTCATCTACGACTTCTACATGCCTACCATCTTCGGCAAGACGTACATATCTATATATCCTGCAGTTTTCGTTCTCGAATTCGTCATGCCATCACGCCGACGAATATACGTTGGCGATGGGATCAAACCAGAACATCTAGAGAGTGTTCCACCAATTGTCGCCAGAACTCTGGCCACGGGGTACCTGTCGGAATGCAAAGTGCCACGTTGTGGAGAACTAGCAATATTATGTTGCCGTCTAAGCAAGAGGGGGGATCCCGAAAGCATTGGCAACTGCCGTCTAATCTATCTGCTGTCTATAATTTACAAGCTTATCACACGCATTATCCTTAATATTTGCAGAATATTGGATGAAGGACAGCCGAGCGAGCAAGGTTTTCCGGAAAGTGTTCAGTACAATCGATCATATCGGCACTCCTAAAAGACTCCTCGAAGTATTGCGATCGTAATAAATGCCGTTATGTCTCACGTTCATCGATTTGGAGAGGGTCTCACGGCAGATATTGTCGTAGCAGAAGGGTTGTCGAGGCTTTGGGCCATCGGAGTGTTTCTACTCAATGAATAAAGATGATTCGTGAGCTCTACGGGCTCTACGACAGCTTCACGACCAGGATTTTGCCATTCTACAAGGACGTCATTATCAACGTGAAGAGATGGGCCTTGCAGGGTGATACCATTTCGCCCAAATTTTCAGTGTCGCTCTCGAGAATATCATGCGTCATTTGGAAAGGGAAGACTTGGGAGTGAAGGCCGACGGCCGCTATTCACATCACCTCCGCTTGCAGATGGCATCGTGCTCATAACACTGAACATCGAGCAGCAGGAACGAATGCTGGCCGAGTTTGACAGCGCTTGGTGAAAGATCGGCTTGAGACTGAATTTAGCGAAGACGATGTTCATGAGTATAAATATCTCTGCATACTCTGGCTATGTCTATCTAAGTTGGGAAGTCAACATGATGAACGAACGATCTAGCTCCGAAGCTGAACCTTATCCACTACGCCCTTGATATCCTTAATGCTCCTCAAGCAGTGCGTTTCCTAATGCGAGGGGAGCATTTAAACACCTTTCTCCTCGCTCACTTTTTCGACACTGCTGTCCTCAGTGCTTTGACGTACGCCTTAGAGACTTGGACTCTACGAAAGCAGGATGAGCATGCTGTCAGCGTTACNCAACTCGCTTTGGAAGGGAAAATGCTTGGGATTTCTTTCTTTGGGCAAGTGCAAAAGAGGATCCCGAGATCCGAGCCCCGCCATCGGACGTAGATCAAGGATGCCGTCGATTACTCCGAGAAATCGAGGATCAGGTAGATCAGACAAGTTATGAGTAATCGCCCATGGGCCACGGCGAATACTGACTAGAACTCTCGAGACGTCAAGCGAAGATCAGGACGGCCAACAACGCGATGTTTAGACTTCTTCACGGAAGCTCTGAACGAAGGGAATGCTGAGGCTCGTGTCGCTGAAGCGAAGACGGTTAACTGAATCGTTCTGGCTCGGTACGGGGATGATAGAAACGTTGCCGACGCCCGCTCGAGGAAACGGGGCGACAGCTGATACAGCTGATTAATAGAGCAGTTGGAGTAGTTTGTACAGACGAAGTGGAACTGTAGGAGTCAAGTAAAGCATCAGAAGCTGCAAATTTGAATGGTCGAATGATAATGGAATAGAACAGGGAAGATCAGGCTCCCAGAGGAAGAAAATCGGAAAAATGAGGTGCATTTGCGCCCTTCTTCCCTATAGGACAAGGTCAGTGCGGAAATCCGACAATACAATGCACTAGCGGATTCGGCTAACAACGTAGTCTTGATAAACCTACCAGATGACAATGACAGGCGCCTCTGATCCGCAGTGAGGTTCATTATCGTGTATATGCCTTGGGTGACCGCGCTATTCGTTCGGTTAGAAAAGATGGAGATAACCCAAAGCAGGGGAAAGTGTGTAGGAATTCTTCTCATCGAAATTTCGGAAGCTGACTGATAACTGCTCCTTCAAAAAGGTATGTTTCTTGATGGCTTTGGTCCAAGCTGAGTGTAGGATGTCGACCTCGCCCGCAAACTCTTCTCTCACAGTGCAGAAACACTAATGCGAGTAGACCCAGGGTACGAATCGAGCAGCACTACAGAAGCGAAGGGTCCATCCTCTTGATACTGCGTATCTGGACAAACACAGGTGTACTCCGTCAGCGCTCTATCCGCCACCAAGCGTGGCGACACATAGCCTCAACACTAGCTTGCTTCAGAGCTAAAGATCTAAAGACCCTTCCGTGACAGATCCGTGGTTCCCCCAACCCCGAAGAACTGCACCTGGCTCGATCAAACTGCGTCCATTCTGTCTTACTGCGTCCTGTTTTGCTGAGTTCAGCATTGAATAAATTATGCTCCAAATTGATATGGTTGCTGGTTTATAACGGAAGGGTAGAAAGAAGGAACAGTGGGATGAATTAAGCGGTCATGGCCTACCAGAAGGCTACAAGAAGTAAGATTTGACGAGAAGGGAAAGAAAATAATGACTCTTCTAAGTGGTGGGCAGTACTTGGGCGAACTAGCAACTGGAAGCAAATGCAGACTGCACCCTTTTGGCGAGAGTCGAGAACAAAAAAGCAATTCAACATTAAATTCAAGACAGAAAACATGGCAAACAGGTACATATAGTTCAATGAGCGAGGGTCACCCGTGTGAGGAGAACCACGTACCGGATCTCGTGGCTACTACTCACCGTATTTCGCAGCAACAGCAGACCCTAGCCCGGCGAAGATCAGATGCTGTAATACATAGATTGAGTTTACGGCGAACAATAGGCCATGGACCAATTTGATCAACATTAATCTTCTCAATACGACCTTCGAGCAGAGTGGCATTACCGTCAAGATGAGAACCGCCTAACTCTTGATAAAGAAACTGGTCGTTGTGGGTGTGTCTTGCTTCTGTCAACTGGGTTCTGAAGAGCAGATTGGTTTCTAATTTATTTTTCCGTTGGGCTCAAATGGGTTGAAAAATGTAGGATTAGCTTGCGACTTCTACAGTGTCTGCATGCTTTCCTGAATAGGAGAGGATTGAACTATGTGGTATACTGAGGGATTATCGACACAAGGAGTTAGCGACATTGAGCTTCCAGCACCTAGTTCATTCTGGAACAAGGCCAGACCTTTTTTTCTTGAATATCCGTTAATATTGTATATACATACTGCTGATACTGTTTGAGGGCGGATAGAGAAAACGAATGTGAGGGATTTCTTGGCGAATGACTCTAAGTTCTTAATAATCAACTTTACTTGTTCTTTTACTTCGAAGTAGATGTGAGTTTCTTTTTTGTAATAATTTTCGCTCCCAGAAAAATCCTGAGCATTCCTCAGCTGTTGTAGATGATCTGAAGACTCAACTTTGCGAGGCCAACGGATCAAAACCGCCAAGCAGTTGCTCCATGGGAGTTAGGCGGGTTCTTCTCGACGGTGATGCTACTCTCTTTGGAGCTTGTATTGAGAAGTCTAATGCTGATCAACCTAGTTCAAGGTCTGTTACTACCAAACTATTCTCGCCGTCAAGTCAATTTTATCAAGCCTTTGATCTTAATTGCCAAGCCGATGTCGGCTGTTGCTGTGAAATACGTTCAGCGGCAACTTTGTGATTTAGTGCTTGGTTTGACTGACACTGACAGCCTCCCTCCATTGAACTGCCTCTGTTTAGGCCGAGTGGTGTAGTGGACGAATGTAGCAGCTCCCACTGTCACAAAAGCGCTTCCGAATTTCTATGCAGATGCATTCACAAATTCAGTTCTAAAGCCGAAAAAGGGAGGTGCTCGACAGGTACGAGAAATGAAGTTGCCCAAGAGCAGCTCTTTTTAGGCTATTACTAAAATTTCTGTCTTTTCACCTGTGGGCTCAACATTTCTACTAGTATCAATGCGTGCCAGGAAATAGAAAAATCGAGGAGTTGGAAAGTAGATAAACTAGTAGTATTAGTACCACTCAGACACGCAGTACTTCAGCAGTTCCCTGCTGCGTGTGTTTGGCCGAAAAACGGACCAGAGCGTCCAAATGTGAATGTGGTATTCGCGGTGGAGAATACCATGAAAGTGTTGCAGGAGAAGGGCCAACTTGAACACGAAAAGGATGGATAGTCCGGCATCGGGCACCAGATCCGATTGGTGGAAGATAAACGAATAGACCTCTAGCTAAAACTTGCCATCGATCTATTCCAACAACCCATCTCAACAGTTCTAGCTGCTCAAACTTTTTTTATGAGCTTTTCAACGAAAGTTTCTGTTTAGATTAATTTCAAAAAAGTCGTTTCAGGCAAGGCTCCTTGATATTTTAAGGATCATTTTCATAGAAGAGCTTATTGAACGGATTCATGAGAAAAGGGGTAACATGGAGGATACCGGAGAAGAAAACTTTCTTACGAATGGATGTGAATGTTTCAGCGTGTGCTTGGCTATGTGTCCAAAGCATACAACGTGCATCGTTTGTTGGCAAACATTAGTCATTTATGGAGGGCTCCGATCCTGTTTTTAACGAAAGGATGATTTTTTGTAGGGGTAGCGCAAAAAACAGCTCCAAAGTGATCATCTAGATTTGCCTTCTGGCTTTGAAAGCTGAAAGAGAAAAGAACTAAAAAATCAAGGTACAGCGATAACTGTCTTGTATGGTCACCTTTTTCTGAACGAGTTTTTTGCTTTTGGCTTAGGTTTTCCTTATTTGGTTTTCCTTATAGTTTATGAATCTCCCCATTCAAAAGAAATGGAGTGAAATTTTCCAGGATCGTCAAGTTGTTATGGGAATTAAAGTAGCAAAGCTCAAGAGAAGGCTCAGCGATCACTCCTTGACTGGGAAGCGTGAAACTCCCGTGGACAATGTCGAAGCACATCTTTCAAAACAAAATTGTTTGGGAAATTTTGGTAAGCTATATAAAGAAACTCGGAGAGAGCAGAAACGGACTGGCACCCGAAAAACTCAACCAGTTCGAAAACAACGTTTTAACGAAACACCTTATCACAGATTATATGTGGGTTTATTTTTTTGTTATGTTAATTGACTTGTATTATTTTGCAGTTCTACCCTGTATTTCATTGATTATGTTTGCCAGAAGCCTAAGCAAAACAAGGAGGGAGCATCACCTTAGTATTTATTAGCCTAATGTACTGTACTCGCCGTAAGAACTCGAAAATTTAAGCGAATAATGCGAATTAGCGTCTTTTTCGTCTTTTCTCTATAAATCGCTCCAAAATGGAGTAATCGAAGAGATAAAATACCATTGAACTCAGCTTGTCGAGCTCTATTGACACTCAAAATGCTAGAAGTTAGCCATCGCCGACTTGCGGAATCGATCGGTGCCCAGCGCTGCTAATAAGTGGCTGGTTCGGACGNCTTTGAAGTCTGAAAGCATCAAATGCTCACAGCTAGGTAGTTTGGTAAACTACCTATCTGGGAACATTGGGTACTGGGCACCACCACACAAATCACAACACTGCGTTGTGATTTTTTGACCCTTCTATGATTTTGTGTATAATTACGGTCAATCATTCTGTAGGAGGCGGATAACATTACGAATAAAATAAAATCTCTGTGTTCTGTGAATAAAATGTTCTTATTCCGTGCGAGGTAGCTAGGTAGAACAATTTATTAAACTAACGACCCAACGTTTCGGCGCGTTCGTCTTTTTCAGAGCCTAAATGCAACGTTGAGATGGTTTACACCCTATCTGAAAAGCGCCTTATCTTCCCTGGCAAGTGTAGCGATGAGCTCGAAACCCATATTTGAACGTAAGTAACGTGTTAAATTTAGAGTCCTTTGATTCTGCGCGGAATGTTGATGATCATGAGTTTCGCAAAGCTCTCGGAGGTCTTGAGAGGTTCAGAGATTTACTGTGCACTAAGAGCAGACGGGATCATGAGTTGCATACATCTAGGCTTCATTAAGATTTGATAACTCCTGTGCCATTTCCGCGTAGTTTTTATAGAGAACCCCTATTGATGCCCGTGTCTGACGTTAAATTCAAGATATTATCCGAGATATTCATGACTGTTTCAAACCAGAACAGAAGGCTTCGGAACACAAAATCAACGTATGAGCAAAGGTGGGGGTTAAAGGAACTGCCTAAGATCAGTTCAAATGGAGCTCTAAGCATATCGTGATGATAGTGATAAAGGTGATGAGTTCGTCGTTATGTCTTGAACACGTGATCGAGCCATAGCAGAACGTCATCTCAGCGACTCCTCTTTTACCGTGGAATGACTGAAAAGGGCTTTTTATCCCAGTCGTCCGAATTGAATATTGTTCAGTGTTGCTAATTCTACAAGCATTGATGAAAGGTCGATCAACAGGCTCAAAGTGAAGTGTAAAGGAGTATAAGCACAAGATTTGATNTGTGGAACATATATCATTTATACCAGCATTTACCATTGGCTTGACCTCAGCGTAAAACGATTCTCAGGGTATAAGCTTGAGCCTCCATCCAGAAAGTAGAGGTGGTCCAGTTCAAATGGATGGAGAGCAAGGTCTATCTGTCATCTGAACTACTGCATTGTCAGCAAGGAAAAATAGCAACTTGTGGCATCCGAAGAACCGACGCGACACTTCTGATTATTTCTAGATTCCCTACCAGTACACGATGTAAATGGCTTTCAAGTCTGTCTAGGATAAACCTGTGATCCTCAAGGAGAGCGCACAGGGTGCTATCGGGTCGAAACACAATTGAGATGAGGCGCAATAGAAATCCCAATATTAGCCTAGCTGACGTACATAACCGAAGGCGGACGAGTTCTCACGGCGTGGTGGAGGCTGTAGTGGTTGTACCATTCGCACTAGGCGCACGCATTGCATGTAGGCAGCTTTCTGCAGTCAGCTGTACGCAATGGCACACACATTTAGACAGTTCGTCCAAATACCTCTTCCATGCAGCTTTTATCAGCACGCTTTCACCCAATGCCGAATTTTGCTCCTTCTTTGAAGCTTTGTGTTTCTTTGAATGCGCCGATCTCTTCCATGTTTGCCCTGTCCGGGACTACATTTCCCAGTATCCATTCTGAATTATGTAGATACTCCAAAATTATCGTAAACTGCGCTTTTAACAAATCACGGTAACCTATTATGTCGAAAACTCCATATGTGCAACATGTATGTAAAACCGATGAACATCATCATTGGAAATAGCGCTATATGTAATTTGTACTTGAACCCATACTTGTATAACCGGGCAATATATTCTTATCCCTTACTCTACCGATACCCCGCTTGCCCTCGCCTTCTTAATGATCGGTCTCAAGTTGTACGTGTGAGTGTTGATAAGCTATGATATATAAGCCATTAAGAAGGCGAGGGAAAGCAGGGTATCGGTAGTGTAATGGATAAGAGCACGGTGCCCGGAAACCACAAGTAAGGGTTCGAGTCCCGTACGAGGCGGAAGTTCTGTTCATAAGTCGCCAACCGTGTGAGACTATCGCAATATGCACTAGGAGAGGATGCCTTGCAGGAACGGAGGCATGCCTGGGTAAATAACCTTCTTAACAATAAGAACAAATCACCATGTCTGCATATTAGCATCATTATTAATAATTTATACTTGATTGCACTTTATTAGAATCTGAACCGAATGAATAATGAATGATATGCTTTGTAAAGTATGCATTGCATGACTATTGCGATAAGAATTAAAACCCGTAGCGATGAGCAACAGCAATTAAAGGTGGAAAGAGTTATCGTCGAAAGCTGCAAAATCGAATAGCTGCGATTTGAAGCCAACTACTCCACAAGAAACGCGAGTAGTAATGTAATCACTGTGATAATAAATGTTAAGTGAAATGATGCCGATGATTTTTCGGACTTCATCGATTTCCTGGCCTTCTGAGGACGAGCAATCTTCGAAGGCACGGCGGTTGACGTAGTGGGCAAATGAGAGAAGAGAGTAGCTTTCCGACTGTAGAATCGGCCAATACTACTACTGGTAGTGGTAAACAACTTTGGAGGATCCGTCAAAGGAGGTCTGACCGACGTTGTTGTCGTCGTCTTTCTCCTCCGAGCAGTGGTCGTCCTCCTTGTGGTCGGCGTTGTTGTTGTGGACGTCGTCGACGTAGTTGTGGTGGTCGTCGTTGGCGTCGTCGTGGACGTTGTCGTCGGCGTCGTCGTTGCCAGTGTCGTCGTTGTCGGTGTCGTCGTTGTTGAAGTGGTTGTTGACGTAGTGGTTGTGGACGTTGTTGTTGTTGTTGACGTTGTTGGTGGACTCGTCGTGGTGGGTCTTGGGGTCGTCGTAGTGGTCACTTTGCGTTCTTCTTTTTCTGAATCATCAGCGGAGACTACCTGAAATATATGTATTAACAGCAAGGTAACATATCGTCTTCCTAAACCTTTTGAAGGCTGACCCTTCAAAAGGAAGAGACTGCTACTCTCTTTGCAATTAAGCCACTAGGAAGAATTTTTCTCCGCCTTCACTCCTCCCGAGGGCAGCGATCCATTAGCACTCCACGAACCACTATTCTTCCCTAGAGAGATTCTTATTGTGCCGCTACAGTATATGTCGTCACAGTAGGGCTCATTATGCGATCGTACTTCCCATTTACTACTGGTTTTTGAATTACCCTTGCCTTGTGCCCCTCTAACGGTGTCTTGTTTTGAGTCCAAAAAATCATGTCTATCACCTCCAAACATCAAATTTCCTTCGGTAAAACCGAAGATTTTTGGCCAAACACGGGGTCAATTATCCGGTAATAATGGGGCCATTCTTTGACTGTGGTAGTGCGACCATTCATTCTACCAAGAACTTTTCTGGAAGAAGAATCAGACATTCTCTGTATGTAGTTTTCTCAGACCAAAAGAAAGGAATAGAGAGGACCCATAGGAAACCCAATTCATAGAAAATGGAATCAGTATACTACATCCTTCAATCATCCTAATACACTTTTTTCAATATGCACCACCCTCCCCCCTCCCTCCTCCACCTTTTCCGGTAAGGTAAGATTAAGGGTTATGGCTTCAGACGAGGATGCCTCTCAGGAAAGTAGTTTTTCCGATGACCCCACGTTTTTCGTTAACTTGTGAAAGCTCAGTTGATTAGATGTGATCAATTACTGGTAAGGTAAGTATGTTTCAGGATTGTTCGTGAAAGATTGTGGAAAACCAGGTGCTCTCAAAGAAGTGATCACTCAAAAAGGGAAAATTGTCAGCAAACCTGTTTAGTAGTCACAACATTCAAATCGAATGGACGATAACGACGAAATGGAAGCACCGGCGGTGGTGGTCGATCATCTGCCGGTTTTTCCTCACCAGAAGGAACCTGAGTAAGGGGATAAGCATGCAGGTGATTGGGTATTCGTGCAGGATTCCAAACACAGGCAACTCAATTCAATATCAATAAGTGTGCATTCATTATCAAAATGATTACCACAAACACAAGTTATGAAAAGTGCTGCAAGATTACATGCGAATTCTCTGTCCTGAGAATTTTCGTCTCATCGTCGTAAAGTGAAAAAGCATGCTGGAGTTGGAACGAGCCCTCGCCCATTAAGGTAGGGAAAGTGATGTTATATTCGGTGAAAAGGATAGTCGGCTCACCTTTATCCATGCTCTTGGTTGAGTAACATTCGGTTTGATCAGACGAGCTCGAGCTTCAGCCTGAGCTCGTGCCCGTTCCATTATTCGTTCTTGCTCCCTTCGGAGCATTTCCTCGTGACGCTGTCGTTCCAGCTCTTCAAACGACAGCCTCCTTGAGTCAGGCCTCTGATCTTCCGTTCTGAAAAAATCAGCAGAATGCAATAATAGGAGAACCTTCCAGTGGGTAAGAGCTGTTGCAGGTTGTTATTCTAACTTTGTGTGGAATGATATTCGCAAATGCTCCACATAGGAAACAGACCTTTGCTGTACAGCTGTCTCAGAGAAGACTGGACGCGCTGGCACTGCGACCGAAGTCGATGCGGTGGTGGTGGTGGTGGTGGTGGAGGTGGTGGTTGTGGTGGTCGAAGAGGATGTGGCTCCTGAAGGAAATGGATAAAGAAAGAACTACTCCAGTTGTGAGTTCCTGTGACGACCAACCCATTCTCCTCGCTTCGAACGCTCTCAAGTGTTCTTGATATCTATCATAATGTTCCTGGATCCGACGACGGCGTTCTTCCTCCATTTGACGTCGTAGCTCATATGGATCCGGTTGAGGTGGCAGCGGAGGTACAGGAGGCGGTTGTGGAGGTTGCTCCTGCCGTGTTGCCGGATATTCTGGACGTCGCACAGGCTGAAGGGCTGGGTACTCCGGTCTCGGCTGTTCCAGCTGCCTCATTGAATGCTGCGGTCGAACAGAATCTGGCTGTTCTGCTGGATATTCGCGTCTCCATGGTGGGAAAGTTGTCGTTACCACTGCAGGTCTGAAATAATCTTATTCAAGATGGTAAGTTAAATACAGCGGTACTAGAAAAGGTTTCAACCTCGGCGTTGTCGTTGTTGTTGTTGTTGTCGTGGTTGTCGGGTGATGATGGGGAAGTGGTGGATACAAATCATCGTCTTCTGACGATCCGTCACTATCATACTTATTCAGATAGTCCCTGAAATTTTAAACTTTTGAGTTGACACAAAGCCGTCGTGGAGACCAAGGAACGCTTTCTGCTCGAACGGCAGATACGATAATTTTATTAGAGGGTTGACGGCGCATAGTGTAGCCGATCTTTGGTTGCGGAATAAAAAGACGGACGTAGTCAATGAGCTGAAAAGAATGTCCCCAATGTTCAAAATCTACAAATACTAGAACCGGCTCTATGTTTACGATTACCGAAGTAAGCGATACAACTTACCAGTCAGCAGGTTAATTGCTAACAGGTGTAAATGTCGAGGCGCATTCTATAACGGGATTAATTAATGGCATGGACTCCGTCTTTCGTAAGTTACCCAGTTTTTCTGGAGTTGAATCTTCTACTTTTGACTTTTGAGAACAACGTGAAGTACATGACCCTTGTTTTGTATACATCACGGCTGGCTTAACTTTTATAACGCACGAGTTCTGGGTTTCCAGAGTATTTTCCAGAGTTTGCTTTGTTTTTTGAGACTATGTTAGGGTACAGTCGTTCTTTGACCATAAGAGTTCAAAGACAGACTCATGATGGCAGTCAAATCAATCCATTAGGCTCCTACTTTAGGTATGGTTGTAATGGTTGGGCAACACCCCTCAAATTCCATTTATGGAAAGAACTGTATAGTCAGTCGTCGTTGTTACGCGATTAAACTGTATTCCGCTAAGAGTAGTAAGAAATAACTCGAATGAACTACATGCCGACGTTCCACAAGTCTACGACTGATGATCAGTGAAGATTCCTGGAAGTCACTGATAATGGACATCACTCAAGTTAAATGGCTGAACCCTGGAACTTGCTAACACATCGCAGTGCCATCTTCCGCCAAGTATAATCCGTCGAATAAATGAAGCCGTGGCATTTCATCAAGATTCATAACAAGTAATCTATAAAAGCCGTTTAAGACCATATCTTGAGCTTGTTAAGCCCGTTTAGAATGGTTCTGAGGAAGTGATAATGAATGGTTTTCTATGCATAGTCCATTCTGCGCTGTTCGATCCCCATCAAAAGGAATTGGAAGAGAGCCAAACTGTCCATTCGGGTTCAAAATATCGTCGCAGTTTATCTAGACCAGCTGTACATATGTGACAACCTCATCACAGGAGAATAATGGCGACCACCCATTGGGCATAACAGCCATACATAACCGTAGCCATGATTGACACGAAGAGTCCATAGAAAACAAGGATTGCTTCGAAAAAGTACAGAAATGATTACATATGGATTTCCGCATTTGCAACTGAATTATTGGATGTTGTAGTTGGCTTAGCTCATACCAAGCGACCACTGTACTGATGACCGCCTAAGTGATATTTCATCAAAACTTCATCTTTACTGTCTCTTGTATATAGTTGTTGTTATTTTGGTGTGGTAACAGTCATAATTGATAATCCTTAAGGCGGAACTACTCGAAACGATAAACGACCTAACATTCTACCCAATCACCTACTTCTGAGCCCTAGAAGCAGTTCAAGATCAGGATCTGCATCTCAGCGCTTGATCCCTCATAGGATATTCGAGCTATTAAAGCCAAGAAGTAGGCGAACAGGTCGGAACGTTAGACCGATCACGGATAATTTCCCACAACCTCGAAAAAACCATCCTCTAGGGTTCCATTGTCTATAGTGAGAAACCGTTGTCAGCACAGGAGGCAATCACTAGCGGATGGAACATTCCACCTCCTAGACTCTTATGTGAATGATGCCTATGTTGCTTATGTCACAGTTTGGGAACTGAATCATGAACAAATTCTCGCCGAGGTAACCAGGCCTTCCAACTAATGAAGGACCCATCCCAAAGGGGGTCGATCGACAACAGGAGACCTTTGTACTTCATGTGGTACACAGCAAAATGTTCGGAACTAGCTTTCTAATCTGATATCCACCACACATTCGATTTCCGTTCAAGGCTGTGAGGGTACGTAAAGTGCGCTATATTAGTTAAGAGAATCGGATTCATGGCCAACCCATTATACATTTTGCTTCGTTCCAGTATAACAGTCATCTTGAAGGCTCAATAACTTCAACAGCTTTCGGGGGAATCAGCAGCAGTACATACAGATATTACTGGTTTCTGTTTAACTGGGACATATTTCATATCGAAATTCCAAAGCATGCCCTAGAGCGCCTATGGCAAAGTTTGCCAGCTGCTTGGCTCCTCTAGCGTAGACTAGTTTCGAGCATAAGAAAGACGATCTTCACACTTCAGCAGTGGCACAAAGCGGTGTGAAGGTAACTGGAATCGCTAAAATAAAATGTCCACCCAAAGAACACCTTAGACCATCACGGAACCGGAAGAGCAGGTTTGCTCGAAGATCCAGTCTACCAGCTCTCCGCCAATTTCGACCAGCAGTGGCTTTAACAAGAAGTAATGCGCTGGAAAACAGTTTTGCCACCCTCAGACAACTTCTTAGAGTATATTCCTCGGTTGGGAGCTCTCGAAGCTCACTTCCTAATCTGTGCAGATTCGAAAGTCCAGAGAAGGAAGAAACTTGGGTGGGCGGTGCCGAATGGGTAACTTTTTTTCTGTGCACCATTTCTCTAGCGATATGGGACTTCTTATATAAATTTGACTACACTGTATCTTAGTGACTTTCAAGGGTACGGTATGTGTCTATTCTCTGGTCTTCACCCTGGGAAGTCTAAATAAATACCTATTCATGATAGGAAAAGAGTAAACATAAGGGAAAAACGAAAGAAAAACTATGCTTATAACATTTATTATTATAAAAAACTATTTCCGTAACATTTGTTGGTTTGTTTAAAGGTTTGTTACACTTTCTGGAACATTCCTTTCTGATAATCGAGATTTCCATTCCCTTCATCTTTAACATGATCCTTTTCGGCTAGTGTTTTATTGGACTTTTCCAGTTGTCTTTTCTACAGTAACCCTTTGTGGACATAAGTAGCTGACGTGGTGACTGAGTAAACGGAGCGTTGGAGTGCTATTTTTTATGAGATGTTATGAAACACAGGAACCTTCGAGTACATCAAAGAGATAGTACTACGCTTGCAAAGGGTTTGCAAAATCATAAAGGAGAACAACCAAAACGAAAAATAGGGCCAAAACAAGTCAGAGAGCCAAAATTGACTCCAAAAGACCGTTGAGATGTAGGCACTTCGACCTTTCAGATGAGACCTGGAGGTCACCTTACATCGTTCTCATCTTTGTGTTATTTAGAACGGCCAAAGAGGTGATGGTAAGTTGGCTAAACCTGCCGTTTGGCATTTGCCCAATGTGGTCGCTGGATCGTCCTCCATTCCTCCCTGACCGAGTACTAGTAAGTTACTAAGCTGGAATCTCAATTCTCTGATGCCTAAAAGACAAAAAGAAATAGGAATGAAGAGGAGTTGGAAGAGGAAGCTTCGATGAAAGAAACAGGCCTCGAGCCTCTATAAATCATTGCCGGTTACTGAACTGGTCACAAAAACATCCAAACTTGATATGGACCTGATGTGGAAATGGTATAACTTCGTGGGGTGCCTAGGACGTATTATTCCCCTTTTGAGTCGAATCTGTCTAGAACTTCTCTCTTTAGTGGTTCACAAGTATTCCGAATCCACAAGTTAACTTCTGCATTTCATTAATTTACCAACTTAAGGTCAAATCAACGGACCCCAGCATTCACCTCAAAAGAACGAGTTCGAAAAGTGACTGAAAGGTCTCTGTACTACCATCTTAAGCCTCTTCTCAACTTCAGGACGTTGGCCCTTTGGATTGGAGAATTTCGAAGGAATCTGAGGACCAGCTGACTGAACAGAGCGGTATCAATTTCCTATATTTAGCTGTCAGTCTAATGCTTCCACCTAGGGAAGGTCCCCCGACCGACAAATTTTCTACAAATTGGCGGTGGCAATGCACATCCCGAAACGTTCAGCTTGCACAGGTGAGCATAATGGACGTACGGGAGTGAAGCTAAAGCAAACACTGGCCGCTCACACAAAGTGCAAATGCAATTGCGCATCCGTTCCCATCATATTGTTCACTAACCCACTGTATGTATGCGAACCCTGACTTTCACTAATTCCGCTGGGATTCAGATCATAGCCTTACCAGTATGGGATCGCACCGTTCACTCCCTATGGGCTAATGTAGGTCTCTAGGAGAATCTGATTTTGGCGAAAAAGGGCGGGATAAATACCGGGTGAACGTATACCCTGAGAAAGTTCCAGAAAAAAGACTAACAAACAAAAAAAGCTATTTTTAGCTGCAGTTTCCGTTGCGCCAAAGTCTCACGGGGATAGGCGGTTATGAGCAAAATGCTTAACCTCGTGAAGGTTTTTTCTTGCAGAGAAAGAACTCCATCTGCATCATGTTCCCTTAATGTCAGCTCTTTTTCTGTTAGGCTGGGTTGAAGCAACCCATAAGTACAGCCAAAAATAAAAAGCAAATTAAAAAAATTGTATCGATTAGCTTTCTGTGAGTTACTACTGCATAATCGATTATTTGGCGAAGAAGCACACAATTTGCATGGCTTATTCTCTGAATATGTACGACGTTTCCATCGTAATACAATGCTAGTACCACGTAATTTCCATAGACCGCAGGGATCCGTCGCAATATTTGACAAGAAGCAAGTTCAAGTCGGATTTTTCATCCATCCAAATCAGCTCAGTTCGAGCAATCAAGCCTAGAAACCTTGAGGGATCTGTTCCTATGAATCGTCTGGGGAGTCCGATTACTGGGCCTGCTTTGGTACATCTTTGTTATGAGGCAGTCCCGATGAAGGTTCAACTCCATTTTGTACCACTCAGACAACAAGGCTGTAACCAACAAGTAAAAATTTTCTTGAACATTTCTTTAAAGTCCTCTGAGCCGAGGTTTGGAGGACCATTCCAGTCCTACAGCCCACAAATAGTGAAAAGCCATTGTTTTCTAATGGTCGAAAAGAGTGGGAAGATGGGTCTGGACTTGAGCGCCACGAAATGGTATTTGTCATTCAAAAGCATTAGAACAATGAGAGCAATTCTGTAGTCTGCCATGACGAACACCTTTGAAAGTGCAATAGTTGTGAATCAGAACTGATGAGCAACGACTTCCTTCTCGACGCCATTTCGCCTTCGACTGTTCATAAGCTTATGTTGTCACCATAAACGATTTTGCCATAAACATTAGGTTTTCGAAAAGAAACAGCTATCATTCGTTCCTATTCGTTCGTGGAAAATGTTGAAACGTAAATGAGTCACATCCTTCCATCCCAAAAACTTCCACGAACAGCGAAAGACGAAAAGAGCCACAACATCCATAAGATGAGAACACAAACACTAGCGGGTCAAAACCGAAGGCAGACTATATGGGAGGAAAAGACGCTATAGCAAATCCTATAAAACGTCTTGAAAATCATGGACAAGAGCATTGTTTTCAAAGAATACAGAAGAGTACGGTGTGGGAGCGCTGCTTTCAAATTACATTGTACCCCAAGACTCTTGAGATCCGACCAGGCAGTATTCCCATCCCATAGGTTGCTATGACTCTGAAGCAGAGCCTTCCTATCTCGGAACAAAAAAGCAACTGCTTAATAATGCAGAGTGCGGAAAGTGCTCTTGTAGTCCAACAAAATACGACCACTACTGAAAACAGCAAGTACTCATTTCTATAAGTTACGGGTGGGACAGTGCC